TTTGAAAAAAACCCCAAACGGATAAAGACATTTCAGTATGTCTGTAGACATTTCTACACTCGGCTCTTGACCAGAAGGTTTATTTTCGAAGTATTCCTCAAACTATCGATTGCTTCTGTGTATGTTTGACGGTTGTTCAAGCTCCGCGCTATCCACCACTCGCATGGAAGCTACGCATTGAAACAGTACCACGGCTTGTATAGCACTGCGAACACAAAAGACTGAACAAGTTCACCTACTCAGTATATAACAGCCCGACTCTGTGCATTCTGTCCTGTTCTCGTCAGTCCGTTTTCTAGATGATTTCGCCGGCTTCACTAAGACCTAATAGCACGCTGTATCGGTGTGATATGTTTTCTGTCGAAATAGACTCATTTTCTAGAAGATTCTGGTGTGCTTTCAGTTGTCGCTGGTAAAAATGGGATTTTTTTCATGTTGTTTGAGTAGCCTCTCAGTTTGTGCACCACAGCTGATCATGCCGCACAACTTTTGTCTTTCTATTTGTTTCAGAAGCCACATCAAAACTGTGTGACCAATTGCCTGGTTATCCCGTAGAATTGGCACCTGTGATTCATCTCACGTTCATTGAATGGATGAACGAAGAACTGACGACATCCCATCAAACATTGGGACTGCCCAGTCCATCAAGTGTGGTTCATCGTATGCTAAGTTCATCTCAGGCACTGGATCAGATATTAAAGCAACAAGATCTGATTCGAGGCTTCGTTTGGAGATTGTGGGAGTTGGACGGGATAGGGGATGAGTTGATTATCCAACTCCGGCGGTTTCACTCCCATTTGGCAACATTTGAACCTCGGTTTCCAGTTCGCGATTCGTTCCACCTAATAAACTGGAATGCTCGATTTTCGGCTGAATGGACTCGCCTCATACGTTGGACAAAAGATTTGTTCGTGAAATTGACGGAGTGCATTCACTCTGTCAGGTGGCTTGAAGATCGGATAATCATGTTTGAGACAAAGGTGAAATCAAGTCAGCGTTGGTTGCCACAAAATTCTGAAATGTGTATGGATCAAGAGGTTGATGTTGAGGCGCTCAACTCCAAGTTGAAGCACTTGGAGTTGATTTATTCCGAGGTGACTGGGTCACATGCTACTCAGCTGGAGTATTCAGACTCTGGTATTTTGCTTCCCACTAGCTCTGTGGAGACCCACTCGTTGCTAGACATTCTTGCTGGCAAAAGAGACCAGGCCTACACTATGCATAATTCGTTGAAACGCGCGCTAGAAGAACGAATGAGTGAATTGTGCGGTAGTCTGGCAACGCTTGTGGAGGATCCGGAGATCGATAGCTTCTCCTTACTTCAGAGGTGGTTTTTGATTCACTTGACAAATATGGATCAACAACAACCGGGGAATCAGCTTATAGATAAGATAGATAGGTTGAGAGGGAACCTTCACATTTGGAAAAATGCGTATGAAAAACTAAACAGGCGTTTTCCTGTCCTTGTGCAGTTTCTCAAGGTTCACACGAGCACTACAAAAGAAGCCCTCTATAGGCTTCACGAGACGTGGTTCGCTTTGATGGAAGTAGCGGAAGGCGCTCGGGAGAGGTTGTTGGCAAAGTGTATCCGATATGAAGAACTCCAGAGACACATAAGACTGTTGGAATATGAAGCGGAAGAATTTTGTCGGTACAACCAATCCGGTGACTTGTTGCAATACTCGGACAAAAGTGACTGTTTGATGCAATATGGTTTCGCGGTGCAGAAGGTATACGGTGGGAGTTAGAATGCATTTAATTCTCTGGATATAACGTAATATTTCTGTTGTTCCTAAACCTTGATTCTCTGAAGTTTTTGTCAACACTGTTTGGGTGAGCTAGAGACCCCGTTCTATTGGTCCCGGTGTATAGGCTTGTAAGATATTTGGATACGAAGATTACTATGCTGTTAGCCGCGAAACTCTTCGGTCAGACGTTGCTTTTAAATAAGGACTTCATCTTTCAAGTTAAATTACCTCATCCCGAATAGTCTAGAAGCATTTTGAAGGTGTTTAGTCCTTGTTGGGACCTGTCAGCAATTCGCATCTCAGGAATCTCCAAGTAGACCCCCAAGCTTTCCGGTCACCATACGCTTCCGTTATGGGTGGCTAATCAGCTGTTTACTTAACCTGCGCAAAAGATAGAGCACTAATCCCCTTCGATCATAACGCTTCATATCACGTGATCCGGGGTCGATCGGCTCTTCGAATGACGGCTTATCAGACAGCTTATTCATGCAGTTTATCGGATATTCTTTTTGAGCAAATCACCCACATTATGTTGATTCGGTAATCCAATGCACCATTCTTCTTCGTCTTTTGGGATATCTCGTTTCGCTGCTTCCCAGGGGGTGATTGTATGCTGAAGGAATTGATAGATTTCATTTGGGATGCATTTTTGAGGCCATATAATTGGATACGTGTCACCTGTCCCCGAGTTAACATTAGAAAACTTCCCACCGTTTTTTATTCCGGAAAACTGCGTTCCATGCATCCCCTATACTACCAGTCTATGTTAACCTTGTGTGTGGTTTTTCTTAGGGGAAAAAATTTGGCAGCCCAACCATTCCAACCCTTAAATTGTTCTTGCGTCGCACGTTCGAATGTAGAAAATCAGAAATGGAAGTTTTGTGTGAGTGTTCACTAGACCTCCCGTTCGCACCAGTTGGTATGTACGTGAGTGACCAACCGAACATCAATGGCTGTCCTACTGACTCATTTGTACGTCACCGGAGTCGGGCAACCAATGCACTTTTTAGCACCCATTCAGCACATGGAAGGCGCGAACATCTCACGCGCCCAGCTAACTGGTGGAGTGACAGCTGAACCCTCTTCCCTACGAACGCGTAGGATGGGGGTGCAGGTGTTGTCAACTCAAACAGACTCACAGAGTCACACTCACCTCACACGTACGTCTGATCGGTAGTTCGAGGAGTGGTACCTTTTTTGAAAACACGTGGGAGGTACCGGGTCAGGACTGCACTCAGCTCATACGCCCTTGAAGACGCGTGCGCATGGGAACAAAGGGCCCCTGTCACACAACTGACCCATTAAGCTAGCCGCTCTACCGAAGGCTCGACAAGCCCGTCTTGTGTTGTCGACTTACCAAACTGTGCGAACTGTTGTTGTCCATGCCCTACCAACTAAACATCTAATCCAAAGCGAAAACGGCCACAATAAGCTTACCTAGTTAGTTCCGTTCTTCAGGTCCGCACGCACTGCTATGCTCAAATTGATGCAACACGCACTCACTGTTGCCATTTTGCTTGCCGGTTCACTACACTATGCCGCTGGCGAATACTCCCCTGCTCTGCGCCCTTGGCGACTTGCTAATGGTGGCAACTTGACTGGCGATAAAACGTGTGCGGCCTAGCTCAGCGAACAAAACAATGCTGAAGTGCATATCACTAGAGTGTAGCTGTCTCTAAGTAATTAGTCGGTTTCTTCCCATAATTGGCATGCAAGCGCTATTCCTCTGCAGCGACGTTGAGGTAAAAATACGAATTGGTTGGATCCAGGCGGTAATGCAGCTTAGGACCTAACCGACAGTTGTGTCCAGTCAGCCTGACAAGCATGTTCAAGCATGTGTATATCACTGTTCCTGATATCTTCGTCCTATTGTGAGTGATCAATTTCAATCGATAATTTGATTCTGCAACCAAAATACATGGGGTAAAAATTGCTGATAATTTTCCAAGACAGTAATCGCTATACGGTGCTTCTCTGTTGCTTGGCGTTTGTGGACTTTGGCGTGCGGAATAATAGCTAGAATCGTAAATCTTACACCTTTCCACTCACAGGATATGAGTAGTCCGTTCAGAAAAGGGAATCGCGAAAGTCACGCGAGTCAACAACAGATGATGTGAACTGATTTAACTGTACGGTTGAAGAATGGGCGCCATTTGGCTACACTAGTGATTAATCCTCTGTTGCTGAATGGTAATATGGTAATATTCTTTTCGGAACGCTCCGTGTTCGAATCTTCTTTGAGATTCGTGCACTGTTGGTGATATTTTACCACTTTTCCTGGCTTTTCACAATAAGTTTACTTTGTGTTGCAGCATGAAACCTACGACTAAGACGTTTTGTTGACCTTAGGATGGAATTTTCTATTTTCTCCTGGGGCTTTTAAGTTCCAGTTGGTTTGGATAGGTCGCTCTTTCTGTTGCGGTTTAGTTTTGAACGCTGATTCCGGATTAGGACTACATATCTGAATGAGCTCTTCAGTGTTCAACAGAAATTTCAGTGGAACCGGGTGAATGCCTAGTAGCAGGCATCTAGATGAATCTGTTGGACGCAACAGTCCAGTCTTATCAGAAGTGTGTAACCAAATGGTTAGATTCCCTGCAATATCCTTCGCAAAAAGTTCATGCTATATGTGGCTGGTTGAAAGTCAATATCTGAATTCCTTTATATGTGTGAAATGTACCCACAGTATATCCCCGAATGTATCCACACATCTCCTATCTTTTTCACCGACGAAAGCTATTGTCCTCCTTGTTTCCGATAGCGCAAACGGGAACGCCTTGCGGAACTTTTTTCCCGTCTGGACAAGTTAAAGGAAGAAGTTACGCTGTTTGCAACGGATACGTTGAGATTCACCTTGCCAGCTTATGAAACTTGTGAGCAACACGTAGTCGAATACCAAATGAATCTGTTAGACTTACCAGGTCAAGTGCAGAGGATCCAGGATAAGTTGAATGAGTTAAATCTCGATCTGTCAATGAATGAAGACTCGGTCGACGAGTGGAATCAATTGAATCAGCAACAGTTGCAGCTTTTCCATGGCGTTGGAGAGCTAGAATTTTTAATACAGTGTGCTTTCGCTCATCACCCGATAGCGATCACGGAGAAGGAGAAAGCGAACTATTTTGGCTGTCTACTGAACTCAGTTGGCTTTCTGCAACAGAAGATTTCCGAGCGGATGCGCGTATGGTTTGCAGCTATGGAAACGGGTTGTAGTCCATGGAGAGCGTGCGGGACGCTGGACTTCTATTCACAGTACATGGCTAAATGTCAGCATTTCATCGATCAGTTGGCAAAACTCAAAAGCGCCAACTTGATTCACTCCCAAATGCATCAGGTGAGAGCTACGAATAATGTAAAAAAACGTGTGATGATAAAACAGCTGTAATAAGCTTAGTAATCGCATGAGGAATAACATGTCAATTTTTCTTAAGGGCTACAATTTGACTGAAGCACCAAACAGTTTCACCTTAAGCTTTGTTTAGAACTGGAACTTGTTGTCATAGACTTGCTCTACTCTAACTGTACCCGAAAAGATTCTCGAATTGTCGCATGAGCTTTGATGGATGACAGAGTGTCAGGAGCTCTGGTGTTAAATATGGTGTTTACCAGAGAAAGAAATGAGTAGTCAGTAACTTGTTACGCCTCTTTATCAAAGGATATGAATTAGTGAATAATTTATGTTGTAGAGGGGTGATGGTAACACAATTTGGGTGACACCACTACTTGCGTTAGAAGAAACCACGTGAAAACTTCCACGTGACCAACTGCACATGACCGTAAGGTTACCTTCCTGCAGCCCGGGTTCAGTCCCCTTCAATTAATTTCGGATCCGCTTCCTTATACCCCTTACACTTGTTTTTCGGGAATAAAGACCTCAAAAGATGATACTACTACGGCGCTCCTTGCCTACAAGAAACCCCTGGGGTCACTGCAAATGTTTCCATATCTGGTGTATTGCTTATTGGGAGGTTATATACAACCACTCATTTCAAGGACGATGCACAGTCTGTTAGCTCGAGATCTTTTGATTCGTATGTTACAAGGTTTAAACGCCGCTATGCTAGAGACTCGTCAGAATTGCCGCCGAGACTCCTTGAGCTCATTCAGTCAAAATTTGGAACATGCTAAAGTACAAAACGATCTCGGAGAAAAACAATACTTATATATATTTGTAATGCACTGCTCATTAGGTTGCTGAAACTCCTCGACAGCCCACGACCGGTTTCGCTTTTCTTGGGGCTCATCAGTTAAGCACAGTCCCCGAGTTTCCGTCAATCTTATGTTCTACTTGTACCAAATTGCACGAAATTAGTGAAATGCACTCATCTGCATACCAATTTGGTTTTGACGAGAGACTCACCTGGAACCCAACTGAATCTCTCGTTTATGATGTTTTTAAGTGGGCTATCTTGTTCACATTTTTTTACCAGACATGCAAGGCGGACAGACCACTGAACGTATGTGATAAATCAAGTGCCGATGATGGTTGAAGCAGCTGTTTCCTTTAAAATTAACAAGAGTATGGAACCATTTGTAGGTTGATGATGGTCGCGCCTGCTTGACATGACTATTACTGCTTGGGTAGAATTCTCCATAATTAGATGCACTGGAAAGACTCACAGATTTCTTTAGTTGTATACAACTAACAAGGAGTTTGCCTGCCTCTTCCCCTCTCAACAGTTTCTCCTTCATCGTATGGCTTTGTGTGAAGCGAGTCGAGTCAGAGTCGTGGAAAGAGCCGAAGCTGCTCAGGTGCACCTGTGTAACATGATGCAACAGACACGCATCCTTATGCGTGGTTGTCTGGTAAGCCAACGTGTGCTAGAATTTTGTCAACGAAAAAGTGTCACAGACTTGGCAGGAAGGTACAACGAAGACGGGAGTTGTAACCCAAAGCCAGGTATCACAGATGTCTTCGACTTCTTAGCTGACTACCATGTACTCTCGAACCTATCCGGGGAAATGGGGTTGGAGAAAAAAGGAGGAGATGCCGACGGTCCGAAGGACGCGCCTGGTCTTGACGAGTGGTGCGCTCTGGAGCTGGACCGCGTTCAACAACAAATCTGTCAGACTCGTGATCTAGTGGGTTTGGTGGTAATGCACAAACAGCAACAACGACTACGGTGGGCGCAGACGCAGCATATTATTGGGAATATGACGTGGGCGCAGACGCAGCATATTATTGGGAACATGAACAATCAGCTACACAAACCGTCGACTTCTCTAACGCTGCGAATGAAGTTGTTATCAGTTCTTATTCAATTAAACCCCTACCTCTCGCCGTTATCGATGGCTCGATGGTTAGAAAATTGTCCCGACCGGCCTTTAGCTACCTCATGTAACCGAGAAGATGGGGTTAGCTTTTTCGACCGATTATTCCGGCTTGAGAATGCCTTGAAGTCCATTGATGAACAACGAGAACCACAGGTCAGTGGACCTCAGGAGGTAATTGTTTCACCAGAAGTTGTAGACACGGGGGACTGGAACTTGAGCAGCATTGTCGATGCATATTCCAAGCAAATGGTACGTATATCCAGTGACCTTCTGCATCTCTCAGGCGTGCATCACCCCAAATATTTGCAAGAATTTTCCACCAACGTCTTCGGCTTACAGTTCTGCTTTAGTGACTACAAAAGTCGGATTTGGGGTACTTTTCGATTTATGATCTGCCGAATTTATGATATCGGAACAGCCGATTTTTTCGATTGGTCGGCCGGCCTGGTGGTTGATCGGCTGCGTATTAATGATGTCTCCTCGTTTGATGACAAAGTACTGGCCAGCTAATTGCTAAGCTCGGCGAACGGGTCAACGGCCGCCTAATCAACAACCAATAAACGCACCTTAGCTACCAATATCCCAGCACATTCCCAGCGTTTTATAGCAACACCTGACGTAATCCTGATGGATCCGTTAAGTAGCCTAATGGAGGGGAAGCACCATTGAATGAAAGCCCAAAACCCTTGGAAACAAAACACTGATTCCAGAGGCTACAACCATTGTTACCTTATAACTGGCGATGTACCAATCATCGTCGTGACCTTCTATGCAATATCTCCATAGTTTGGCTGTGTTTGGTGAAACTGTATACACTTTTAAATAGGCATGCATCCTACCAGTTAGTCAGATCAGCTGATTAATTACTCAGATCTCCGATCCATAATGGTCCGTGTTGATGGCGTAGAGGGGCGAGGTGAAAACCAACCGGGTTTGTTTGAAGTCTTCAGAGGCAAAAACACGTGCAAATGGACCACAATGCCACTGCAATGGTGTGATCATTTATTTATACGATTAACGGTGCTTTCAGTATCTCTCGGATCGACCGACTCTTTGGGAAACTTGAATTGGTGTAGTTCTATCCACAAATTCGTTTTAAAAAAATGTACCCGTATGAATGCAGGTATCTGCATCGTTAGATTCAATCTTATGATTTCATCTCATACAAACCCAAACTTTTCGTACGGAACAGGTTATGTGTAACTCAGACATTTCTATCCGCATATTTTACGGAGGCCTGGGAAACCCCAACGAGTCGTTTGTCAATGGTTTACTTGATTTCTCTGTCATCATACAGACTCAACTTCAGAGCAAACGAATGTAGGTGATCCAATTGCGTGAACGAATTACGATTGACTGGATTTATGGGCTGCCTGTTAGGTAATACACTGATTACTGATGTTTGCCCACTTATATGCAAAAATCTTTGGTGGATGAGTATTGTTCGTTATTTTCCACACAGACGATCTGGCCTCAAATACTCAGCTGCACCAAATTGGCAATCAAGATGGTAGTACATGGTGATGACTGCGCAGCTAAACACTTACTGCCACTTTTGAGCCGCTTGCTGGATGTGAATAACCGGCTGTTTCAATGTACTACTGTGGTGGAGAATATTCTCGAACAATGGTTCCATTTCCTCTACCTTCGATCGCAAGTTTCCAATCAAATTCTGGACAACGAGCTCGAACGCTTTAGAACAAGATTAGAAGATAAAAGTATGTGTTTTAGTCCAGATTTCACTCGAAGTATTTTCCTTTCCATCTCATTATGGTTGTCCATGCTCTTGCTTCATTTCCAAACACGACTGCTATGTGTTTCAACGTAACGTAGCTTTGACTACAGTACGTATAAACCTCACTTATTATGTCTTCTAAATGCGCTCATTTTGGAAAGATTTGGTGGTGGGCCACATGCTTAAGTTATCAGAGTGGTCAAGGCAGAAGCGAACCAATCTTTGATTCCGAGGCCTTTTATTCCACTGGAAGGGTGTGGTCTTTGGCTCTTCAAGACGATTCACGCCTACACACAAACTCCTAAAAACGTAACTCATCATTTCCTCTAAAAACTTCCATTTCGGAAAGTTTTGGTAGACAATCGATTGCTTACCGAGCCACATACATGTTATCTGATTGGTTAAGTATTAAGACAGACGAAGAACCAATCTGAAGACTGTTTGGTTCCAAAGATTCCCACTCCACCGGAAGGGCGTGGTCTGTTTGGAGAAGCCTTTGAATCACGTTTTTTGACGAGATTTCTTTCCCCTAAACTTGTTCTCTTTCTTCCATATTCGTATATGGTCAGGTTATCAGGACTTTTGCACCTTCTGGTTGGCCCATGGAAGCTATATCCGAGAAATTTTTGTCCATTTTTTGGCTTTCATCAGCAAAGCTCATATATTAGCGAATATACACTCATTTGCAAACTAATTTGTTTTTTCGAGAGACTCACCTGGAACCCAGTTGAATCTCTCATTTGTGATGTTCTCAAGGGCTGTCGACGGGTTTTCAGCAACCCTATGAGTAGTACACTACAAAGATATACATGTATCGCGATATCTCGAATATCGTAGCGACTGAAACATGAGGCGGCCTGGTGCAGCACATTCAGTTGCCTGAGAGCATCACAGACGATAGATTCAGCTGGGTTCCAGGTGAGTCTCTCGCAAAACCAAATTAGTTTGCAAATGAATGTGTATTCGCTAATTTCGCGTAATTTGTTTCAAGTAGAACATAAGGTTGACAGAAACCCGGGGACTGCGCCTACCTGATGAGCCCCAAATAGGGCGAAACCGGTCGTGGGCTGTCGACGGCTTTTCAGCAACCTTATGAGTAGTACATTACAATGCTCATGTATACTAAAAAGCCGGAAGGTATTACACAGCTGTGCTCCTTCCTTCCTCAGAGTCATCCGTATAAATCTTCCGGATCCTGAATGGGTTTCCGAACCCACTACTTTCATGGGACAATTCCGATAGTAATAAATATTAGTACATTGTCGTTCAGCTGCATAAGTGCCATGCCAATCCAAGGAGTCACTTGGGCCGAGACACTACCAGGTTACCCAGGTCTAGATAGAACCAGTTGTGATGCCCAGGCTGGATTAGAACCACCGACCTTGTGGTCAATAAGTAAGCGCTCTAAACGCTGAGCTATCTCGAGTTCAGACGATTCTCGTACTGATGTGTCGCACCTGTCCACATGCGCCTTAACTTTGCGAAAAACCCGGGTGACGAAGTTCTGACCCTTATAAGTTCTGACCCAATCTGCATACCGTTTGAGGAGTCCGGCTGACTGGTCGTGTGGCTAAAAGTGTTAACCTATCTGCCCGTTCAGGTATGTTAGTTCAAGTTCGCTCAACGTGCTGTGATAGAGCGGTAGCAAGCCTGTCTCGCTTGTTAGCAGTCGTCGGAAATAATCGACCATATCTGCTTGTCGAATTCCGGAGAGGATTGGAAGCAGTTACCTCTGGGCCACCGGCGGCTGACTAAAATGCATCTGTACGTTCGCCACGCCTCAATATCTGTCAGCTTGGTACTGACTGGCTTGTCGCGTGGTAATTTCTTCGTACGGATTTTTATTCAACGTTTTCTGATCGATCGGAGAGGTACTTTTTTCGGGCAGAATTCCATCTGATGAGTTGTTCTCTACCTTTCGGTATTACGCCAACGGATGGCTCTTCGCCCCAATGCAAATTAGTGCTATCCTGGCAACTTGATCAGCTCACATTCCATTTTGCATTTCGTACCATATACGGTTAAGGGGTCATGTTATGTTGGCTTCATAGAGACCACATCTAGTTGACGGTTCTCCTCGGGAACAATCGACAGTCCACCGGGCACCCGCGCATAATCGAAACAACGCAGAAAATGGACTGCTGCCTACAAACCAGAGTCAGGTGTCAACACAAATGAGGATGTGAGTTAGCACAGGGAAAAGATTAACCTAGTATTGCGTGACAGGGAGCTGATTGGGACCATTTGCCCCTCAGACAGAGATGAACGACTGGAGTTCAACTCAAAATGCTGCATCCAATTATGCCTGGGAATTATTTATTCGCTGTGTGTACCGGCCGCGTAATCAGTTGCTGAATAATTATCACGCTGTCTGTCACCTTAAAATTCTCGCTTGGTACCTGATTATAGGCACCTGAGTGTCGCGTGGGATTTGCTCAAGTCTGGGCTTGTGTGAATCGCCCGTTCTTGTTTTTTTGGATTATCTCTGTAGGCGCGTCTTTGAATGACACTGCTGGGTTTCAGTTGAGGATCTGGTTCCTTGGAATTCTACTTTCTCTCTGGGGATAAGCTGATGAAACAGTGTACAATGACGTGCTTGAATAAATCCAATGATCACCCACTTGTTTGGTCAGATCACAACCGTCACTGTTTGGTAGCTTCACCGAGTAGTGATTGCGTTCCTGTCTTTTCAAGTCCTTTACTGCCCTCACTGCTAGACTATCGATTCACCTGGAAATTCAATATACTCGATACAGCGGTGAAATTGAAATTCAGTTAGTCGACGTTTAGCTATTGTGGTCATCCTTAAGTTTCCCTATTGTCTATTATTTCTGCTCAGGCTGTCTTTGCGATGCATTTCTTTTCGTATACTGTTCTGGAGAATGTAATATATAGTTTCAAGGGTGGCCCTTGATAGACTGTCAGAAACATACCTTGCCTTGAGACCTTGGCGTTTTGGTAGTGCTGTTGCTCGTCGGACACTGTACGAACGCCGACCCGTTGGACGTGATGACAGAGCATGGCTTCTTTGGGCCTTACGAGAAGCCCACTCGTTACAATCTTCTTCAAATTTGGAATGTACCAATCATGTCATCTCAACCGCCATGTTCCACCTTGAACATCAGGACTTTCTGTATGGTCCATTGCAAACCCAGTTGAAATGAATAGGCCTTCCATAGGTTTAGTTGGTCTCCAGTGAAGGAGCAGACATATGGAAAAATCACAGCACTTCGAGGACACCAATAAAGGAAAACCCATTGAGGATGATGGAACTCTCACCCGTCTTTGCTTCCAGTACATAACCTTTGCATAGCAAATCATTCTCTATTAACTATCCGTTTACGCTCGAGCAAATCACAAATACTCCCCCTTTGTATCTGTCTTGACAGATGTGAACACTTTTGAAGCCGACGGCAGCATTGCAGATCAACTGAAAATGTTGGAGGGCTATGAATCGTCGTTTGGTCAGTTGTGCAATCTAGACGAATACATTTTAATACCTCCAAGTTCAACCGAAGATGGTCATCCTCGGTTGTTCTCTGACCCCGTTTGCGTTCGGTGGAGGTTGCAACAAAAGCTCATCACTGAGTCTTCGGAAGCTGGTGAATGTTACCGTGCTCATCTGACGCGCATTGATGCTAAAATACTTGATGCTTTTGGTTTATTGCGTGACCTCACTATCGCAACCCATGACCTTTCCAAGCGAGATACAGAAATGCTTCAGGTGAGGCAACTCTTTTTTTCAGCTTGACTTTTATCCTGATGCTCAGTATGACTTCTATACATTAAATAGGCCTGTAAACCGATGACTAGTTTGCAGCGGAATAAATCAGCCTTGGATAAGTACTCTCATTTGTATACGAATTCAGTCTGGACAGGAGACGCAGCCGAACCCAGCTGAATCTCTCGCTTATAATGGGCTGCGCCAACAACCTTGTGAGTAGTGTGTTACCTCTAGGTGAAATAATTGAGCTTTGTGTCTGTATGCCAAATTGTTGTAGCCTACCTTCATGTTAGGTTTAGTGCAATACAAACTTGTTACAGTGATTAATAAACTGAGTGAGAAGTCACTTCACCATCAGTGATCGAAACATCAGCCGGTCGAAACTTATCAGTGTGGTACAGTCATACACAACTGGCAAATTTCAACAGTGCATCTTGAGGGTCCGTACCATACACTGTTTTCCGATGCCATTATCCCTTTCGTCGGTTTTCTTTCTTTCATGTATGCTTCATCCATGGCTTATACCTACTAGTTTACCCCCATTCACTGACGTCTTTGAATTGATGAGCTAAAAAAGAAATAAAGACTTGAGAAAGACAGTGTTACACCTTTAGTTACCTTGTGGACTTAGTAAAGTATCTAGGTAACGTTTTTGCCTCTATCTTCACATGTGATCGCCATATATCAACTGCTTTTGTTTTAGGAACACTCCAACGTTCTTAGAGAATCGTGGGTGTTGGTAAAAGAATTTTATACGGGCTTTGGACACGCTGCGGCGTCGGATCGTGTTACACATATCAGCACATCTTCCCCTGTCGTGTTTGGTGTTCAGTTGACCCTAGTGGACTTGCTGTTGTTATGGTGTAATATCCTAAACACCACTTTGCATCAGGCGGTCCTCAGCCAACAGCAATTTGTTGAAATGCGATGCGGACTGCGGGCCATGCTGGATAAACTGTCAATCGTCCCAGGTTCCGGCTGCAATGCACTTTCGGTTCTCCCTGATCCTACTGCTTCGTCCCCGTTCACATCAAATCGGAGTCACATTGAAGGCATTAGTGTACCCCATCTTGGTTGGATGTTAACACAAACAGAACTTCAATCGGCTCGCTTCCAGGAGGTCAGTTCTTCATTCCACATAAGTTTTCCACCATCCGACTGTTTAGCATGTGTTTAGTGGATAGAATCTCACATGGACGGACTCCATTAACACCCATTCATGAGCTCCAATTGAGTTTTGCTCCAACAATTTTGATACTCTTGTGATCCCCTGGTTGGTTGTCAGTTACGGTCTGCACGCTAGCGATTGCTTCGCTCCTTGCAGACAAGATCAAGGCATTTCTGTTTTCCTTCTGTTCTTAACAACCGAACCGCACCGGCATCCTTAGTTTGCATTGTAACAGGGTGAAATGATGCGCCTCGTCTCTCCAACTTAATAAAAGGTTGCTCGAAAGTGTTCATGTATCTTAACTTCATGTCCACTTCAATCTTTCCACCCTATTTTCTACCCTAGCGGATTGACTATGAATTGAGTCGAAATCTGGGCTGGATAAAACTGCTCAGCTTAGCTGCCAGCGACCGAAACACACAGATGGACTTATCTGTGCTGACGGATACGGCACGGCGAGTTCGTTCCGAACGCGCGGCTTTGTTGTGTTACTCAAGCTATGAGTGAGTCTATAGACAGGTTGACATTAGCTTTTTACTTGGTCTGAGGCGACTAACATAATCACTGTCCTAAGGATATTTCCTTAATCATTTCAGAAACCAGAAACTATCACCATTTAGGTTCTGAGGTCTACCCGTATTGTCTCCTTGCTGTGGGTGCCTCTATTTAATGGGCTTCCGGCCATCATTTATAGTTCGGCTGCATATCGATCGTTTTCACGAACTTTTCCATTGGCCCCACTTTACAGAAAGAAGCGCAGCAGAATAGCAAATGGGGTACTACAACAAGCACGCTTACTTTTGCCCCAAATACATCGGCAGTTAGATCGCTACCAGCACCACGCGCGTATCTCCAACACATCACTTCTTCAACAAAACAGCTTACAGGTAAGTATTCCTGATGATTGCTTCGTTGCTGTCTTTGAAACAGTAAACATGATAGTCTTCTTGACAGAACTTATCACTCATAAGGTTGCTGAAAACTCTCCAACAGTCCATGGCCGGTTTCGCCCTTCTTGGGGCTCGTCAAGTTGGCACTACCCCGAGTTTCTGTCAATCTTGTGTTCCTTCTTGAACACCAGATTGAAAACATTCGGCGAAATGTGCTCACCTGAGAAATAAGTTGTTGTTTACTGGAGACTTATCTGAATCCCACCTGGATCTGTCGTTTGTGTTGTTCGGCCATTGACTTAATCGGTGTGTGTGTGTGAACCTGTTTTTCTGTTGTTTCAGCTGTCCATAGAATTTGTGCCAGATATCATGTTTGTATGCTCAGTGTCTCCCAGTATCAAACTGATAACGTTTTTTGCAATGTTGCGAAAAATAGGTATCTCGGGTAGGTTGTCGGGTTGTTGGTCTGATCACCGAGCGTGGCATTTGACTTGCAAACGATCATCACCAATGGATGTGATATCGTCAGTAAATTCCCCCTCTTCTGCATGCGCTTTTATAGTTCTGAAAAGTGGCTAATAGCTCTAAATTGATTGGTTGTCCCCGAAGGGGCTTCCGCGTAATTCAGTGGGTCAATCGGGTATCTGAGTCGCGGTGTGATCTTATTTTCTTGTACCTGGGTGGTCCGTTGGGCGTCTTCAATTCGACAGTTCTGTTATTTCGTTTTGATTGGACGGTTTCCTTCTTGCTTTTTGGTCCGATTTCGATCCACTTGATTGGTTGATTGAATATCCTTCTATTTTTAGTAGCGTTCTTTGTCGTTAGGACGTTTGATTTCCTATGTGGTCCAGAGTCCCGTGGCTGTGTACTTCTTTTGTTCGCAGTGGCTGACAGACTGGATCGATATAGACTTTTGTATTGGTCGGTTTTAATGTGGACTACCACACCTCGGCAAATTTCCGCCCCCGTTTTGTTTTTGTGCGACGAAGTACTTGAACATTATCCAACTTGAACTGAGGTCCTTCTCGGTCTTCGTGAATTGACATGACGTTGTCTTCTCCTGGAAAACTTGTGTTTGTGTAGGATCATTTTCAGATAAACCCCGCCAAAAAATTAACCCTCGCCACCCACAAAAGATTAGAAAAAAGAGGATATGAAGTTTGTACTTTTCGTTTTTATTGAAGAGGGTGAAATTGGGACATGTCATTAATAAGTTGCATGAAAAGGTCCGTTTTTCGGTACCTTTGCCTCCAAACGAACTCACACAAGTAGCTGTTCACTAAAGATCGATGTGTGCCGCATTGGCGTGCCAAAGAGATTCGATGGTTTGTGTATGAGCTCCAGCCGAAGACCGATTTCTTGCCGACAATGTCGGGCATTACACGTCCATCTGTCAGAAACAGTTGAAAGTGTCATTTTATGGCCATTGTTGCATAAATGTTGCTGATGGATCACTCTGTGGCTTTGCCAAAAACATATTACCGTCTCCTTGTCATGGACGAGAGTTGAGAGCGTCAGAAAGTTCATTTAATGTTTTACGTCTGAACGGAGAAAATGTTTGCACAAAATGAGCCTAGATGCGGATAAGGAATTGTTTTCATCAAAAATAGGTCAGAGTTGTGTGTGTACATTAAATTGGAGCTGGCAAAAAGTGGTGAGGCTTAGCTTTTCCCACATGCACTTTTTGCATTAGTGGTGGGGCTTATCTGGGCAGGATTCACGAAGGAAAAGATCCTTCGTGTTTTGTGGTGGCAAGTTTTCCAGTCTATCCTTATGTTTCCATTATGCTGTATCGTAAAATGTTGAGTCTGTGGTCATTCAGGACTCACTAACCTTCCTTTCAGTTACTGCTCAAACGGACTTTTATGCAATATCTCAGAACGGGACTACTGCGAATGCCGTCACCAACCGGAAGTGCAGAAATCTATCAAGATTTTGCGGTTCGTTTAGAAAGTGCTTTTGAACGCAGCATTTTGGAGTTGCTGAAAATAACCCGCTTGGGGAGACAATCGTGAGTTGATAATTTTTTTGCACATATTCGTAATTCTAGGACACGGAACGTCAGATTACACCATCCCATCTGAAGCACCGACTTCGCAAGCAAAGCTTAACTAATCATAAAATAGTGGTAATCTAACCATGATGTACACCAAGCAAGTGCATTATCACACTTGGAACTTTCTATCAACCGTAGACTAAGATTGTCCTTACTGATGATTAGAGCCACAGAGAAAGCAAGCGAACGGAGCTGGGAGCATATTGTCACCACTCTCAGCGACGAGGACGTATCGGTCTTATCACCGAGATATTCCAACTAGTTAGCGATTTCTGAAGAAGGACTTTTACAAGCCACACGGTGAGGACGTTCTGGCTTTGTCTACGAGAGGCACCTATCACAAATCTCCCTTCTGTTTTTCCGTTTTCACTTTGACCGTGGATGCAAGTAATGCGTACAGTTGTATGTGATGAACAGTTACAAAGGTATTTCTCTCGGCGGTAGGGGCGCGTCTTTCGATTATCCTTTGGTTAATCCCAGGAGCGGACAAGAGTTACCACCTTCCTCTTTCTGTTGGGTTCGTCAATATTGTTGCAGTTTATTACTTCCTGCAGATGCGATTGTCTGTCTAAACAACGCTGTCAGGGACAAGCGCAAGAAGTTGCACTCAATGAAACATAGCCTTCTGGCTTATCAGAGGTTGAAATGGGTATTAAAGTCGAATGAATATGTGCCCTGTCATATAGCTATCTAGACACCTAGAACGATCGACTATGACGTCACTGTTGTGTGCTACGTGATCTAACTCTGGCAAGAATCAGCCATCCCTTTGGTAGAGGACAAGTTGATTGCTCAGATGCAGGCCGTGCTTGTCCGAAGCCGCTCCGAAACTCCAAATTTTTACATATCCAAAGCTGAATCGAATCTTTCTTTTTAGTTTCAAGCTTTTGGGTAACAATACGTACTGCTAAACAAACTGACTGTATTACGGTTGATTAGACAGTATCGATCGTGGAGTATCACCTATTGGAGGCCTGAATTTAGGTAGCCTATGACGTTCCGTAGTCGATGGTCCAAGTACCCGTTTCAATGGTTGTTAAGGGACCCATCAGTTAAAGTGCCCACGTAGGTACTTCACACTTATCACTTGAGATGAAATGGGTTACTGAATAACCACGCAACCAATTCTGTTATGCCACATGCTCATAAAGGCTCTATGGAAAAGAAAAACCACTGGGAGTGGAGATTAACAGGGAAGCTTGTTGATCTGTGGATCTTATTGAGCTTGAACCAGAAGTTTCAATGGCCTTGCAAGAGATTTTTCCATCAGAGTAGATCTTTCATATATATTTTCTCGGCAAATAGCTATGCATGTCCATTTCTTTACCTTCCAAGCGTTTCTGTGATTAGTCTCTTTCATTGGCTTTTCAGCACATCAGTCACAATAAGCAAGTCTGATAGTTGCAGTAACTTGGATGTTAACTGGTCAAGTCCTATAGATGACTGGTTGAAGAGAATAGACGCAATGGAATCATCAAAAGAAGAAAACCTGGTCGAATGTATCCCGGAATGGCTAACAGACATTAAAGTGAGTATGCTTAACGCGCAGTCTCACTGATCAATCAGTTAATACGGTTATGTCCACGTTATTGCACCCTTACTATTGTCATTTCTATGACAGTTTCTAAGCTGATCATCGGAGCGTCGCATTTTTGGAATTGATACGGTAGTTGGTGGTACATGTTGTATAGTTATTAGGTGTTTACTTGGTCCAATGTCTGAAAGGGTCTTGCCTAGCGCCATGTTTTAACCAACCCACTTTAAAGGGAGCGTTGTATAGTTCCGAGCGCCATGTTTTAACCAACCCACTTTAAAGGGAGCACCTCTCGAAACAGGATGTCTCGGATAGACGCTGCCCAAGCATGGCGACTACATGATTGATCTGTACAATTGGCTTTCCATGCTACCTTTGAAAGCAATGGCTCAACTTTTTAGTTGTCATCTGAGGCCACAATGCCATCCTCGATATGGTATAGAGACCAGCATCGTAGCAGATGTTCACATCACCGTAGATGTCGTCGTTCAAGGACCTGAGATAGGCTTGTAGATAGTAACAACGTTTCTGAACCCCGCCATGAGACAATCCGTCGGATGGTGAAATTCTTTCCTGATATTCTCTGCTTGTGGGAGCTGTGTTTTGCAGGCATAACTTGGGACTTGATAGACCCTAAGGTAACAGTTGGTCCAGCAGCCGATTAATGTATTCCACTACCAGATTTCCAGAAATTTCCCCTACAATCATTTTTATCCTGATTCGACGACCAAAGAAAAGTTAATAGTTGCTTTTCTGCGCAGACGTAAACTGGTTTAAGAGTTTTACACAATAAATGCATCTTCCAAACACGAGTAATTTAATAAAATTTCGTTACTTACAAAATGTAAGTAGTTTGCTCGGAAGGAGAATCTCAGCCAGCATAGAAAGGACACGCCTAGCTGGGACAGCCTGTAGCTACAAGTGTAAACTGGTTTAAGAGTTTTACACAATAAATGCATCTTCCAAACACGAGTAATTTAATAAAATTTCGTTACTTACAAAATGTAAGTAGTTTGCTCGGAAGGAGAATCTCAGCCAGCATAGAAAGGACACGCCTAGCTGGGACAGCCTGTAGCTACAAGTCTTGATGAAACCATCATCGTATGTCTTGGTCACGCTCAAGTATTACTTATGTGGTATCTCAGTAGCAATTTTAAGATGTCTCCATGTGAATCTGAAGATCTACTGGCATGAAGCAAAAATTTATGGAATAAATTTGTGTCATATCGGAACATTTTGTGGACAACTTCAGGTAAGTATGAAGATATATTTCAACATAAACCTTTGAGGGATGTTTCTAAGGTAGATGAATCATTCTCACCCCAGTCTACCCACGAAATACTTAGGGGCCGTCACCTCAACCTTGATTCAAAGCATTCTTGTTCATCTCATAGTGAAATATCTGGTTTTCTCGTCAGTCGGTTGTGATCGTCTGATCCGTCTTCGTCTCTTTTAGCAAATGTTGGCCGAATCGTCAACAGTTAAGGTTGAGCAAATTTCGGAAAACCATGGAAACCCGTCTGAGAAGCTGCAGCGCAGACGACGGCGTGGTCCCAGCCCCGGAAAAATCCGGGTTGGATTACAGAACAAGTTGGAGCAAGTAGTCACAAAGCTCAGGAGTCTATTACGGCGCGGCAGCGAAATAAGTTCCCGCTTAAGGCACAACCAAGACTGGAAGAGTTCCATTGACCACTTGACCCGCATGGGTCGCACAACTTTAGCGAAGAGGATGAGACGCGACCAGGTAGTTTCGGTTGCTCCCATTTCCCTTCGGTCAGTTTTCTTTTCGTTCAGCTTACTAGCAATAGGTGGTACTTACACAATTCCGTTCCGTAGTTCTTGTAATTCGTACTATACAAACGGTTCCAGTGCACTGGTGTCTATGCATCAGAAAAGTATAAAGCCACCATGCCTTCGTATCAAGACTTGTCTAATAGGGAACATTAGTTTGCCGCCGATATCCAATACATGATAGATCGAACTGAACAGAAAAGTGCTAACAGGTGAGCCTTCATTGTTCAGATAAGAGCCACTTGAGCATACATACACGACTGATCAACATACATACGCATTCTCAAATCTGAGCCAAAGTGAGGGCAAGGATTCTGCTGGCCACACTTGTCCTATTAGAAGATTTCACACATTTAAGCAAACACAAGGGATTACGAACCGAAAGGAAAAAAATTCGTATTCTCCAACCAGTACTTTGAATAGAACAATGACTATTACTGTCAGTTCGTTTTGACTGGCTCCTTCTTAAAGATATATCAAAGTTCGTGATAGATACACCCATTTGCAAATTGATTCGGTTTTCACGGGAGACTCAAGTGAATCTCTCGTTTTTGATGTCCTCCAACTGAATTTGCTGCACACAGGTCGCCTCATGATTCAGTTGGTACGACACGACAAAAGGTTGACGGAGATTCAAGAACGAAGCACAAGAAGG